AGTATTTCGTCGCTAAAAGTATACATTTGTTGCCCCAAAAAGACTTGTAATGGTGACAAATACTTTTTTTTTAAAAAATATTTTATGCCATGTCACTTGCCATCTTGTGCCACGTCACATGCCACATGTTCTGCAAATGATGCCACATCGCTTCACCACCTCATGCCATATGTGCACCTCCACAAGCCACCTTATGCATCAGGCTACTTGTCACGTGTGTGCTCCTGAAGTTACCTCATGCGTCATGTCACCATCACTTGTCATGTCACATATTTATTGTAAAATATGCCAAAGATAAGGTTTGAACCCTTAACCTTCCATCTCCAAATTTTAAGCCTCCCCTTTTAGTTAGTTGAACTGAAATACACTTACAGATATTATATGTGAAATAATATGTGTTATTTAACTACATATACATATATTAAATAATATATTATTAAAAAGATATACATATATTATATTTTATTTTCAATTATTAATATGAAAAAATAATTATATGAATATTTAAATTATATTTTTAATAAAATATTATTTGTTACCAATAAATATTATTTTGTTAGGAAAATGAACTTAAAATAAAAAAATTTTAAATATTAAATAATATTCTTATATACATTGTAACCAATTTTTAAATTTTATTTTTATTTTTAAATGAAAATTATTAGGAATATAATTTATTTATAAATATATATTATATTGGTGTATATTAAATATCTTTTACTTTTTTCTTCTCCATATTTTTATCAAAAATTGATAAACTAAATGATTAAATTTCTACCTTCTCTCAAAATAGCTAAACATTTCCCCTTTTATTAAAAATATATTTTATCCACAAATTTTTAATATCTTAGAAGAGTATTTTAATAACAAATTAATTTCAAAGACATAAATTTTGTTAATAGCCATTTGAATAATTTTGAACCCTTAATAAATACTAATAGCTTTTACAATACAAGATAATTACAAGGATCTCATATGTGAATAATCTAGCTAACATCTAATCATTCTCTACCTCATAGTAAAGTGGATTTGAATAATTATTCGTATTATTCTTGGTAATAATTAGTTATAAAAATGTTATTAGTAACTTCTTTTTTTATAACAATAGAAACCTAAATACACTACACAGAATCACATGAAATTCTTGTCCAAAAGTCACTAGAACTTAGTAGAAGTAGACATCATGTCTATACCAAGTCAAGCATTAAGTATGTAATATACCAAGTAGCCTATAATATCATTTACATCTCACAACATTTGTACAACTTTAACATCTTAATGTCATTTATGTATTTGTATGTAAGTAATAATTTATGTATAACTTAACCTAATTATAATTGAAAGTAATAATCCATTAAGATTTTAATTTATCATATTAAAATACTAGCTTAATAACATAATTCTTAAAAATATGAGCTATATATGTCTAAAAAAGGATTATGAATAATACAAAATTTAAAATAATTTAATAATTAAACTTAGCACATCTTCACTATTATTTTTTATTTCTATATATTAAATAAGAAATTTAATTGTATAAATATATTTTGAATGCTTTTATTTAAGTTTAAATTTTTAAAATAATTTATAAGAAATTTTTTAATAATTTAAATGATAATTTTATAAATTATTTCATATAATTTAAAACTATATTTAATTTTAAAAATAATTTTACTAGAGATGTTATCACCAAAAGTAATTATATAGATTATTTTTAATTTTTAAATTATTTTTATAAAAATACCTTTGGTGGTGACAATTAAATGTTGCTGCAATAGTGAACTTTAGTACAGTTTTAAATTTTTTTATAAAAATACTTTTGGCTACAATTTTAGTTTTCATGGTGACTTTTTTGGTTGCTGCTAAAAGTTACCACCAAAAGTCATTTTTTTGTAGTGTAACTTGTCACCACCATCAGTATTGCATTTGACAAGAGCATAAGCTAATATCTTCTATTTACAACTATCAAAATTGCATTTGACAATCATCTTCTTAGGACTATTTCTCACAAATATATAATCAAATCCATGAGCAAGGTTGTACTTATACAGTGCTTTTTTGAGTTGCGTCATCAAAGGTCTTCCCAACACCTATGAATAGATCCTTTCATTTTATTGAATTAACCTCAAGGAGTGGTGCAATAGCCTTTTGTGTTGAACATGGCAAAAAAAATGATATACCTTTAAGCTCTTTCCTGGAGGGAGATCCTGGCAGTGACAATGGTAAGAAATCCTTTATCTTGTATTCACAATTACTCATAGGTTAATAGAAATGGTGATTAAAGTAATTAAAATCACTAATAGCTAAGAATAACAACTTACTCTATTTAATAATCTATTGCTCCATCTATTTCATTATCATTTCTCTCAATATACACATGTGCAGACTCATCATTATACATTATCAAATGTTGTACTCCCTCATCATCTAAGAAATTTATGTACGTGTTTTTACTAAACTTCGTTATAAATTTCAAGTTAGCTACAATACTTTCAACTCTTGTCATTGATGATATCATCCTCAACAGCTCTTCAGGATTTATACCTTCTCTAATCAATTTAGAAATCAATCTTCCGCCTTCATAGGTCCCCTTCCCTTATAAATCTTTTACAAAATGTCCTTCAACGTGAAAAAAAACAAAATACTTCTTTTGCTGAAGTATTTGCCATACAGAAAATAAACTTGAAACAACTAGAAGTAGCTTACAAATTTATTACTTCACAACTATCCTTCCCGTAATCCCAACCATGACTACAACAATTCAGCATACATGTTGCATTTTTCAACATTACTGCACTTTTCACATAATAGAAAAATTCAAAACCCATGTTATATCTTTCTTTTTTTTTTCACATTTTTTAACATTAGTGCACTTTTCACATAATAGAAAAATTCATAACCCATGCTATATCTTTCTTTTTTTTAACTCAATCTTTTTCAACATTATCGTTCTCATAAATCATTTCTTTTGTGTGTTTGTGTTTGTGAGAGAGAGAGAGAGAGAGAGAGAGAGAGATCTGTATAATCATTAACAACATTAATACTTTTTTTCTTAGCTATAAAAGACAAATGGTGTAAAATAGCATTTACAAAGATATAAAAGTTGTCGACAAGACAGAGGAGAAGATGTCAAAGATAAAGAAGAGGAAAAATATAAAAATGCATATTTTTCATACACGAGAGAGGAGAAGATGTAAAAGAAGCAATGCATGTAATTACTTATTACTAAGGAGGGAGAAGATGATGATCTAGATGATAATCCACTCCACTAATTTTTTGCCCAGATTTTCGCGCACAACAGCACATGATAGCAGAATTTTTTGCGCCCAAAAATAATAGAGAATACAAACATAATTTGTTATCTTTTAGTATTTTAGTGAAGGGCAATTTTGTAAAGTTAGGTATATTTTTTATCCCAATTAAGGACCATGGTGCTTAATTAGGATTTCAATATTTTATGGTCCTTAATTGAGATTAATGCTCTTAGAGGATCCTTAATTTCATTTTCCCAAACCCTTATCCAAATGAAGATACATGTTATCCAAGTGTGGTTCATGTAAACATCTTGGATTTTTGGCCCGAAAGCTAAAGAATAATTAAGCATAAATTAAGTATGATACTGAATCCAATGTTTGAGCAAGAAGCCAAGCATCACAAAAGTATCCTAAAAAGTTAGAATATCTCTCAGGGACTAAATAAAAAATTTAAAACTTGTTGGGGACAAAGTATAAATACATGCAGAAATTATAGAGTAATGCATGCCTAGAACTGATAAATGGGCCTATTAAAGTCTAGAAGAATCCAGGATAGACTAGGAGAAATAAAGTATAGCCTAGAAGAGTAGTAGAGTGATATTGGCATCTAGAATTTATTCATGTCACTTTGGCACATTTTCTCTACATTTTTATATATTTTGGCCTAGTTGTATATATTTTGAATATTCAAGTTATGAAAATGTGCATATTATTTTTAAAATTTACACCACGACTTTATTTTGATATTTTCTAACTAATTTCATGTTATCTTGGTTTAAGGTTGTATTGGGAACTATTCTAACCATTTGGTGAAGCTTTTGGAAGGCATTAAGTCTATGTTTGGTACAGTAGAATAGGGGGTACTGAGGCCATTGGTGAAGCCTCAGAGCAGAAACTCAAAGGAAGATTGAGCAAAGAAAACACTTGCATACCAAACAAATTAGTTCGTATGATTCTATAAAAATTCTCAGTCACACATATATAGCTTATTCTCATTCCCATTCCCATTCCCATTCTATAAAAAATTACTCCAGTGTACCAAACGACCCCTAAGATCAATAGATCAAATGCATAGTGAATAGTCACGCTAAATAAAAGAAGTGTATAAGGCAGACTAAAGTGGGTACCTAAATCTTGTTTTTGTCAGCGACTTTTGCTGTTGACAACAAAACAAAATGTTTTGCTTAGCTAAAAAAATTAGGGTTGGATACAAATATGTCATTGCTTTGACTTGGGACGCAATCCCTAGAGTTGAAGGGACCTTAGGAGCATTGTATAGCTAGGATTTGAGCATTGAAAAAGTTTTGAAATCAAAAATTTGAAAGTTTTGAAGACATTTAGAACTCCATTCTCATTTTTCTTGTCATAGTAACTATATTATAGCCATCCTTAAATCAAAAAAGATAAGAGAGTTCATTAATCATTACCATTGAATGTCTAGAGCAATTCATTCATAAATATGTTTTCAATTGGATGGAATAGCGTAGCTATATATGTTAGCCAATTTTGAGAAATTAAAAATCTGTTAATGTCGCAATAGAAGAGGATCAATGAGCAATAAGAAGTTCTGAAAACAAATTTTTCCTTGAATAATAAAAGAAAATATTTGTTATTACTTTTTTCCCCGTTCAGTTTAGTTTATTAAACTAGTCATAGACGATGATATATGTTCACGTACGTAATCTACTTTTGCTTTACTGAATTATTTACGTGATAACGCACTAATCAGATCGAGATGCATGAAAGTCGAAATTGAAACTCTTTATATTTTATTATTTATTTCAAATTCATCTGTTACATGCGAAAGTTAAGTTTATTTCACTCATAATATATCCGTAGAAACAAACACTACCAATCTCCCACATATCATAAAGTAAACGGTATCACTGGATTTGGATCAACCTATTGATCCTTCTTAATTAGAAGTCTCCAATTCGAACTCAGGTACACAGATAAACGCTTATATTGAAGCCTTAATGGCGTCGCTATATCCACTTTTGAGATCGAAGGACCTGTCCCAGATCATGACTCCGCCGTACTTGGACGACTGCTTGATCGCCGGAAGAACCTGAAAAATCATCACGTCCGTTGGAATAAACCCACTTCCGGCAGCGTCCACCGATGCTGGAACCCCCAAGAACACCTGATCGGCCTGCACGGCGGTCCACTGGTTCCAAGCTGTCAAAAGGTTGTTAGTGTTTCCATTGTAGTGGCATTGATCGTTGTTGTAGAATTGAACCCAAATATAAGTGAACAACCCTGTTTTGATCGCAGAGTCCAAATAATAGATTTGTGGGGTTATCGGACATTGCGGTGCCGCCGAGAGAATCAGTTGTTGGTCAAAATTCTTCAAAGCTCTAGCCAGCTCGTCCCAGTGCTGCCCATCCCCCGTCTCGATGTCGAAGTCGATGCCGTCCAAAACGGCGTCGCCCAAGGGCCGTGAGTCGGAACTTCCTTTGAGGAAGTGGTCCCATAGATATTGAGCAACCTGGCCGGCGTCATCGGCAGAGCTCAGAGAGTAGCCTCCGGTGGCACCGCCGAGGGAGAGAAGCACTTTGATGCCATTGGCTTGGCAAGTTTTAATCTCTGAGCTAAAGACGGTGCAGGTGTTGCTGTCGGGATCACAGTGGCTGCCGAGGTTAAGTTTCGGCGTTTGGCCACCACCGAAGGTTGACAAGAAGGCTATGTTAATGAATTGGTACTTTCCGGTGTTGCAGGCGTCGACGAGGTGGCCTTCCTCGCCGTGTTGGCCCCAGTAGGTGGCGATTCCTGCAGCGTGAGACCTCTCAATGAAGGAAGAACAAAGCAAGAGAGGTAGGAATAGTAAAAGACAAACTTGTTTAACAGAAGCCATGTCTGTGTCAGAGCAATAATCTCTGGTGTATTAAGTGGCTTGAGTTAATTTGGCTGAGAGAAGAGAAGGATGATACTAATTTATAGTGTTTGGGATCAAGAAAAGTAAGAGAATCGAAACGTGCCTTGTGGGAAACTTAATCACGTAACTATGTAAGAGCATTCAAAGAAATTGCCGAGTTGTTGCCTGAAAAGTTCAGCCTGGCCTCGACTTGACTAAATAATATGAATGCATATAGTCAACTCAACTCAAAGGACACGGAAGCAAATCATACTTTTTTTTTTAAACCACTGTTCGGGTCCAAAAAACAATTAGGGAAAACCACTCCAAAGTCCCATGTAAGAATTCTAAGTATTCTAATAATAATAATTAGAAGGTATTTTAGAAATATATAAACTTTCCTATATAACGAATACATAAACTTAACATGTATCTAACCAAGTGTCTAATTAAAAGAACAAAAACAATATACTTTATACATTAATTTAATTTGAAATTCATTTTGTGTTTTAAAATTAAGGTGACTTATATGATGATTTTAAAAAATATAAGGAGCGAAATTGAAAAAATAATTAAACTTGAGAGATTAAATCGATAATTGAGATAAATTTAAGAGACTGAAATTTTTATTATCCTAATGGACAATCTTCACACTTACTAATATGAAGAGTTTGATAGGCTTGACTAAACAATATGAAAGGAAATATGCTCAAGTCAAACTCAAGTGACACGGAGTCTCATTAGCGACTTATAAACACCAGTCTTTCTCCACAAGTAATGTCATCTTATATTACACGAAAGACCTTATAATTTCAGAAAATTAAATCATATATTAAAAGTATGATTAATTTTCCCGTGACTATCATTCATGATTCAAGTGGTATGTTCTTATCATGTGCATTATTTTCGTCTGAGGAATTTTCAGTCGTGTGTAAAATGACGAAAAAAAGTCAAAATCCTCTTTGCCCATCAAAGTAAAAGACACGGCATATTTCTTTCACGGCAAGATCTTGTTGAAAAATTACAAATACATTAAATAATATCCATATACTAAGGAAAAAATAATTTTTCCTTTTTTAATGGAAGTATTGGAAAATATTTCGTGAATTTATTGCTTTATCTCAAACTATTGGCATGGCTAGACTTATTTACCAACTATTGCAACCTATGTCTTTATATTGATATAATTTTTTCAAACATTTTTTTCTTCGAACTATTTGAATTAAAACCTGATACTTTCGCTTCTAATGCAATTTGTTGAGAATTTGTATGAAAAACTAGGTCTGTAGAGAATAAAGCCAGATTATAAATTTTCAAATGAGCTTGTGATGCATCAATTTCAAAATGCGAAAAGCATAGACAGAAGAGCTGTAAATGTATATGAATTAACAGACTCTATTTCATGAGACTTATAAATGCATTCATTGATGTAATCATATCGTGATTGGCGGTACAATATGCATTTTCCAGATTCCCAATATTTTTAGTTTTTATTTCATTTAATATATCTTTTCTTAATATTGCTTTATTTTTCTAAAAAAATTTTACATTTCACTTTCATCCATTATCAGCGCAACGCATGCAAATTTCTTTTAAAGTTTATTAATTTTATTTCTAAATAAAATATTATTATTTTCAAAATTAATGAAACGACAGAAAATAAAATGAAGGGAAAAATGAAGCATAATAAAATTTTTAATAAATAAATTTAAAATAAAAAAGAACAAACAAAAGTGAAAAAATTTGAAGTAAAGTTAAGGATTACAAGAAAATTATAAATAAAAATTAAACTACCAATATGAGACACAATATAAAACTTGACAAAAATTTACGTCTAGTTATTCTTTAACTTTATGTAAGGTTTTATTTTGGATCTTTAATTTTATAAAATTTTCTAGTCCTCTAACTTGCACCCCATTAGTTAAATGAGTTTTTATGAATTTTATAAAATAAACTCAATATGTCAACATTTAATAATGTTTTGTTAACATTTAAAAGTTCATTGTCAACATTTTTTTAATAGAATTAACGGTATTAAGATTAAAAGGGTTGAAAAAATTCTTCATAAAATTAAGGAATTAAAATGAAACTTGTGAAATGTTAAACGACAGAAGACGTATATTTGCCATAAAGTTTTAAAAACCACTACAGTTAGTCCACACTGCAAATTAAAAATGTTATTCATGCCAACATAAGGTTTCGAATACTCTTATGGATGTATACTAGTAAATAATTTATATTTTCACACACACACACACACGCACACACACATATAACTAAGAAATTAAAATTATATTATTTCGTATAATTAAATTTTTTTGGTGAAATATATTAATTATTTCATTAATTATTTTCCGGCATATTTATGACATACGTAGGACCTGATTAATGGAAGCGGTTTCAGTGATCAACTGCTTATTCAAAAGCTAACAGACTTGAGTAGTTCTTTAGACATTATCTTTAAAGCTTTAGCTAGATCATCCCAATGCTAGTTTGAACCAACCACAATATCGAAATTGATGCCATCCAAAACCACACATTGCCAAGTGGCAGTGAACTGGATTGTTGATGAAATATGAATGAGATTCAATTAGTTTTATTTTAGATTTTCAAGATTATTCTATTAAGATTGTTTAAACAAGGATATTGAATATTATTCGCCCTCCTCCTTCATCAAGGGTAAACCCTAGGTTTCCCTAGTAGGGCTAAGAGTGGAACCTTTTTAAACCCAATTTACTTAGGACAAGGTATGTTGGTAGTACAGCCATCCTAAAGCCTCCATAATAATCAAATTTTCAAGGGCTTGGCGTAACGTGCACCCCTAAGGTTTGATCCCACAACCTCTCCTACTAAGTGAAGAAGTGGGCAACATTAGCACCACTGAGCTAATCAATTCAGTGGTACCAATGTTGACTACTTCTTTGCTTGATAGGAGAGGTTGTGGGATCGAACCTTATGGGTGTATGTTATGTCAAGCCCTTAGGAATTTGATCATTAGGAAGGCTTTGGGATGGCTGTATTATCAGCATACCCTATATCTTGAGTAAATTAAGTTCAAAAGGTCCCACTCTCTATCCCACCAAGGAAACCTGAGGGGTAAACTCTGAGAAGGGGGAGGGCAAACGGTGTGTATAAATATGGTTTGGACACAAAAATGTGGTTTGTATATGTGAAAAGTGAGCATGATCATGTTAGGGATTAGAAGTTCACTCATAGAGAGTCATGAAAGACCATATAGCATACATTCTCTTGAGTGCCTGATGGGGTATAGTGTTAGAGAATTTCTCTCTTGAATGCCCACTTAGGTGTGGTGTTGGAGATTTGTACTCCTGAGCATATGTGCAATGTAGTTTTGGAAATGACACCCTGATCATGTGTGATAGGGGAAACCATAGTGTGAAATAGGATAGAACATCTTTGGCTAAATGGTTCTACCAATGAAGGTGTGTTTGGATCAATATGTGTGATTGTTCTAGTGAAGTCTCTGGTTTCAGTCAGGATAATGCGGAGGATTAGATGGTAGATGATCATACTAGTGTGAAAATAACTTGTTGAAAGATGGATATGTTATTTATATGTATATCTATGTGAACTTTACTTATTTACAATTATATATATTAGTTGATAGTTGTGGGTTATTCTAATATTGAGATGTTTATTTCACCTTATGGTTACATTTTTACAAGTTTCGACAGTGAGCAGGCAAGGAAAAGATTTAGGCCAAGCATAGTTGAGCTATAGTTGTGCTACACGAGTCTGTGTAATGAGTTTGTCATGTTGTAAATAAAAATGTTATAAGTTGACATAGGGATTTCATTTACATGTTTAATGTGTTCATGGCCATATGTGTATCTTAGCCTGGGTATGTGTATATGTGGTAAAATGTGACTTATTGAGCTCAGATAGGAATATAGATGTGTAATGGGTATGGTTGGGGTGATTGTGTGGAGTACGTGGCCATGTATGCTATATGTATGATAGAGTAGGAAATATAGGCCTTATTATTTGAAAAAAGGCAGTTTGATGGCTAAAGATGTGTGGTTGTGTAACTTGGTTGATATTGTTGGTTAATTAGGTTAAATATATCCCATTGAATATGGTCAAGCCATTGATAATGGCTAATGATATGTAGGTTAGAATTAGGATACTTGGGTTAGGTGAAAATGACAAAAGTGGTTATTTTACATTTGAGTGTTCAATTTTCAAATAAAATATTAGATTGAAACCAAGCCTACATTACTAGATACATTATCAGATAAGCTTCATATAGACTCTTAAATCATTCCAATCGAACCTTATATGAAGACACGACAAGAGTCAAAAGTTTGTAAAAGTTAGTTGTCACTTATAGCAAAATCTGATACGTGAGTCACAGTGCATGTCACAGAGCGAGCCATTTTGGCTTTATATCACATTCTGTGATGCCTATGGCACGTGCCATGGCATATGGCTACTTTTTAGAAAATGCTATTTTGTTTCAAGTTTTCACATTGTGCAATGTTTTTGCAGCCTATAGGCTTCCATTAAGCATGAATATCTACTTTAAGATTTGCAATGGTTTTTAAAAGGGTTTGGGAACCCAAACAATTTTAAGAAGCTATTTTCAATATTATAATTACTTATCATTTTGATAATGTCAAGAGGTTTGAGGGGCCTCTATTTATGTTTATATGAATTATGTGTGATAATTTGGTAATGTTTGATAGATATTACATCTTATGAGGGCCTTACTTGTCATTCTCTTTAACTCCTAACTTATTGTTTGGAGCCTAATATTTGAATGACAACAATTAATTTTGTTGAAAGTTGGCCAACAGTGATATAATATATATTCATATAGATTTTTAAGATTAAGTTCTCACATGATTAAGCTTAAATTCTATACTTAACATAGCTTTTTCAAGTAACGTATAATTTTATTAGGGGCTAAACAACAAGAAACATCAAGAACATAGAAAAATCAACATAATAAATTGACTGCAAATATGAATGGTCCTAAACATATTTTCTAAGACATTAGACATGGGAAGTGAGATTAC